CCTCGAGGCTCCTCGTCGGCGGAGCCGGGCGGGCGGGGAGGAGTTCCACGGCCGGGGGCCGGGTGAGGGGCAGAAAGTTTGGAGTCGGCACTTAGGGGAGGCCGGAGCCGGCGGCCTGGGTGCGCGGACCTAAAGCGAAACTTAGTGAAGGAGTGGCGTCTAGTATTGTTGGAACGCTGTTTTTGAAATGGGAGGGACTCGCTTTTACCCACAGAATTAGTTTCTTTTTCTGCTTTTTTACTCTCCTCCTCCCCTCCCCCCAAACTGTGTTGTAACGTGTTTGTCAGCGATGTCACTGGCAAGAAGAACCAGACTGCCTTTCAAGGGAAGGATCTTCCTACCATTAACTTTAAGACTCTTTCCAAAAACCAAGGATAAGCAGTCTTTTGGAAAGCCTGATAGGCTGACTTCATCGCTCCTTTCCCCTCAACCCATCCCCACCCCCACACTGTAAGGTCAAGAGTATCCGCAAGGGAGCTTTAACGGTCAGACTGAAGGAGAGGTTATGGAAAACAGCCACGTGAGCCCAACACGGAACACTTACGGTATTTTACGGTTCGCTGAGTTCACGAGGAAGTTTCATCTTGATGTTGGGGCCACTTGCCCGTCCCTGGGGGGGCTCCAGTCCGTAAAACTTTTAGTGAAATCGGATGCATCGCCCTCTGCTGTTCAAATTCTAGTCCTTGCGTTCTACCTAGAGTTTTTAGAGCCTTAATCCGCAATTTCCCACTAGCCGGGTCTTAACTTCCTGGCATGGCCAGTGGTACAGGCTAATGCATAATGTTTCTGGTTGCTTACAACTCTCGGTGGACCACTTGCCGCCGAGTTCAGCAAGTAGTACTGCTCTCTGTGCTGAGCAGAGGTCCAGTTGTGTAAGGTGTTAAGTGAGAGGCCTCCCTTAGCTGAGATTATACCCCAGGTAAGCCCTGTTTGGATCTGCTACATACAGAACACAAATCGCCCAAGAGTGCATCTCCTCCCAGAGCGAGACATTTCCTTTGGAGCTTAGATTTTTGAGACATCTAAATTAGTAGAAACCATGTTGCCAACTTTTTTCAGTTGGGATGACCCAGTGATTCATCCAGCTGCCCATGAATGAGGTCAGTATTCAGGTCAAGTGGTATTGACAACTCCTTTTTTTTCTGTAAGTAAGTAATCCACAAGTTCCAGGAAGGCAGAAACTTAGTCATCATGATTTATTTTGGATCCTAGAACAGCCTTATTGTACTCTGCAGGTCATCAATAAATATTTGTTTCATAGACAAGTGCATGACTTTTTTAATCTTTTCCCCCAGCTGTCCAGGGGGTCTGATAATTTACCAGGTTTTGTTTGTTTTACAATTTAGAAAATGGCAAATTGCATAGGACTACTAAAATATGCCCAGAGGAGACCACAGCCGATTCCAATCAGATGATACACCATTCTGGTGCAGGGTATTTTGTAATTAAATATTTTTTTCCACCGAGGGCCTGCTACTTTCACTTTTCTGTGGGTGACTTTTAGAAAAGTTTGTGTGTCCAAAAGCTGACCTGGTTTTCATATGCCCTTTGGAGATTTCCATAAAGGTAAAAAGCCAAGGGATGCTAGTGAGGCATTTAAAATTCTCAACAGAAACTTGGAAATTCTGGCTGCATTTATAAAGCAGGTGAATGTAATACTGGCTTACCCTCATCTTTACCTTTTTGACATACCTCAAAGTAGATTCTTAAGATGGCATTCAAAGGCCTTTATTATCTGTTATTAATGAGTAGTTAGCAACCTGCCTCCAAATGAGAATCATCTGGGGAGCATTTTAAAGGATGGATGGATGGCTCAAGACCAATTAGATCATAAATTTCTGGAGGATGGGTCCTGAGCATTTATATTTTCAAAAGCTTTCCAGATGTTTCTGATGTGGTTGAAAAACACTACCTTAAACCCTAAAGGATTATTTCATGATAAGAGGTAGTACAGTTTAGTAAGAAAAGCTTGGGCTAATATAGAGACGGAAATCTTGAAATTCTCATTTTTCCACGTAATAGCTATGAGACTTTGGAGTTAAGGTCTGAGGCTATACATCCTCATAAAATGGGAATGTACTTTCTCATAGGATTATATCAAATGAGAACAGGTATAAGCACTTTATAAAACAATAAAATGTTATTCATATATTAGACACACAGAAGTTACTTAAGATTCTAATGTAACAAACCAGTGTGGCAATTTTCTCCCCATTTCTCATAGTTACTATATTAATCTGGGCTGGCCCAATATGCAAGTTAAACACAAAGATACTTGATGGGGTTCATTTGAGGAATACTGACAGGCCCAAAAGATTAAAATGTCAGCCTGTTGGGGCCCATAATTCTTGCTATGACTTTGGCTTCCCCCCAGCTTGGTCTTCGGATGGCAGTTTCTAAACATGTCCATATGTTGACTTCTTCAATGCAGGTTTTATTCTTGAGAAAACTAAGGAAATATATATAACTTTTGCCTCATATTGTTCTTTTGCCTCTAGGTTAAAAGTTAGGTGTTTATAGTGAATTAAACATTTGAATTTACTTAATAAATTTTGAGTGCCTACATATGCTTAGTATTCTAGGCCCTTGGTATGTGGTAGTGAACATGACCAAAAAATGCTCCTGTGGAGCTTAAATTCTAATGAGGTTTGTGTTCCATAAACTGTCAAATAAAATGAAGGTGGTGTTTAGTTGTAACATGAATGGTAGGTTTATTTTATACCACTTAGTCTTTCAGGGGCTTTAAACTAATGGCAACTTATATCTGAAGTTGAATTGCCATGTTTTTTGTGACAACTAAATTTAGTTTAGCAATTGCAGTATTTGTAGGTAGAGTGTGTGTGTGTGTGTGTAGATATTTTGCTTTTCATTTTTTTTTGCCTTTCATTTTTATAAACAATAAGCAACTGTTTATGTAAGCTTATCTGAGCCTTTTAAATTGAGGATAGTGTGAAAAGGGGTGATTTTTAGTGTCGTGAATGATTTGGAGTTACAAATCATTGCCCTGAAAAAACATTTATAAACTCAGACCCTTTATATTAAGCTCTCTGAACCTTGGTCAGTTTTTCTTTCCTTCATTGCCACACTTTTTGAAGGAGGCATCTGTCATATGTTACTCTATCACCATCTGCTTTGTTTTATATTTCTCAAAATTAGAATTAAATGTAAAGAGAATACAAAGAATATGGTAGCAAACTGCAGGGATGGACCTCAGGTTGGAGGTCTGGGCCTGCTTAGAAATGCTTCTGGAAACTTGACTTTGGTGTCCCCTGTCTCACAGTAAACACTCAGGAATGTGTTGCTGTTGTTTTGCATCACTGACTTGCACCTGGTGAGTAAGCAGGGTGTGTGGCCAGTGTCCCCAGAACAGTCAGATGAAGGAAAAGCCAGGAGAATAATCTGCTCCTTACCTGCCTCCTGCAGTACAAAGTGAATTAGAGTCCACTCTGTGAACGTGTTATCAACCACAGATGTACATTCCTTTGGAGAATATTCTGGTAGGATCGTGTGCCTATATTGTCTTGATTTATATAACCATCTTAGTTTCCATTAAAACAATTTCTCACTTTCTTTGTCAGTTTACGTCTTTTCCTCAGTCACCTCTATCCTATTTGACAATTATAGAGCAATACCTGGAATTAAATCATTTAGTTATATTTGCTTCCATCTGTATATAAAAAGTAGAAACTTTACAAAGTCCCCTTTGATCATTATCCCCAGTCCCACATCATCTCCCATCCCCACTGCACTGTCAGAAACAGGTTTATAGTCTTCCAGTCTTCTTTGTTTGCTTATATACCATATGTAATAAATAGTTTTGTTTTTGTTTCTAAAATTTAAATAAATCTACGCTTGCTTTTTAAATCTTGTTTTGAACCCTGTGTCATACAGCAATTAAAGAGAA